CGTATATATGTAGCACAGCTGTGGTCATCTACAATATCATCAAACTATCCATGCTGCCCAGTGTATTTGAAGGCTGCGGATGAAGCCTTTATGACAGATATGCATTAAATGATAGATATGTGATATACGTGATTTCCAGGATAATTTCTCTATCACACTCTGTCATCACATCCATCCTTTGATGATTTATACACCTATTTGTGGAGATACAGCTCTGAAAAGGTCATGACTGAGATGACCAGGAAAGGAATGGTCCAGAAACCTTAGTTATGGTTGCACTGGCTCCACCACCAATTGGTCTGTCTGTGATCAGAGATCTCCCTATCAGTACATGTTTTATAGCCCAGTCTGGGAATTCAGTGACAAAACTGACCTAAGATAATATTTACTTACATCTGCTACCTGTAGACTGTTCTCCTCATCTGGGGATGAAAAACGAGGCAGAATTATGGATGATACGGTGACCATGCAGCATCTCCTGCGTAATGTTCCAAGATTTTATTGACAGCAAACTCTTCCATCATAATTCTTTGCCTTTCATTTAATGGATTGGAACCAAAATAGTTGCTCCATTGAAATATGAAGTATGACTACAGGATAGTGCTGGACACTACAGAGTTATCTCCCATCAGTCTCGGCAGTGATGGGAGAAGGTTCTAGCAGGTTTATCATGCAGGGGATCCAGAAGCATTGTGTAGATGACAGAGAGAGTATCTAGGATCTTGACATGCTGACATCCTAGTGCTTTAGGTACTACAATGATCGAAAGGCATTAAAACAGGTCAGATGTAACCATCTTTTCTGTATCAGAACCATCAGCTGGCTTTGTTGATTTATGTAGAAAAAGTTTTGATGGATTGTAGCCATTATTCCTACTTCTTGAGTTGTGTGCAGCAAAGCTTTGCAGCATGACCTTGAGATGTTATGTCATTGTATCATAAGAACCTTCCGGTATCCCCCTGAATTAATACAGACTGCAGCAATCCCGTCCATCATAGATATCTCAATCATCCTTGGCTTTGCTTTCAATAAAGACACTGCATTCATGTTGTTACTTTTTGCAAAGGAAAATAAAATGTTGAGTTGCCTCCCCTGGGCATTGATAAGGTGAATTGAACAAGCTGTCTTTGTGCCACAGAATCAGTGGTGTATTTACAAAGCATCAAAATTGTAACATAGGATCTGAAAAACCTATCAATCTGAGAAAATATAACATTGGTCTGCAGGACAGATTTCGTTCTTGTATAAAATCCGAAATATTCAAATGATCTCATGAAAAGATGCTCTCTCATAAGAGTAATTCTTAAAGACAAGGCTATTGTGTGTCTGCTCCTTCGCTATCACCCATCTCACTGATACAGAGTCTTCCTCATCCCCCAGGTCAAATAAAACATTTTGTATTGACAATTTTCCTGCTGTAAGTACATAGAATAGAATGCTCATGTGTACTGGAGTGGAGGAACTACTGGAGAAGGATCCATGTGAACATCAAATGTTGGTGATGGTTTGCAGGAGGTCATGCAAAAATGTAGGGAATTGCAAATAATTGGTGCAATTGAGACTGACACATTTTCTTATGCATTGAAAATGACATGGTAAAATCTTAGAAAGTCATCCAATTTTATATCAAATCAAATTATAGGATTTTATATGGGTCAGACATACAGAGAAAGCCAGCGTCATGGAGATGGAGCAAGGAAATGAGTGAGATAAATTTGTTAGCTCAGTGTAATATAGTCATTTCCCTGTCCGGGATTCAATTTCAAATGAATTTCTTTCATTTTGAACTGAACCTGCCGAGGCATGATGGCGCAATATGATGTGCTACGCTGTCCGACTGACCATGTCGAGACTGGCGAGCTGATGTGTCATCAGTCCAGCAGGTTTGAGTCTGGCTGATATCATCAAGCAAGACATTTCAGCTTTCTAATGGGTTTTTTCTCTGAAATCAAATGTCAATTGAATTTTATGTTGTGTCCCCATCCCAGTGTGTCAATCTAAACATAGTAAGAGCGTGGTCTGGCGGGGAACAGACGGGGGACAGAAGGGAGGTGTTTAACGGGACGGCATGGGTTTTACCGGACATCACTGGTATTTTGCCGGTGTTGACAGTGTAGTAAAACATCATGCGCAATGATTAGTCTCAAGCATGTCTGTCACAGGAAATAGAAGTACTGTGAGTTGTAACTACTGACAGAAGTCATTACACAGCCTGGATCACATTGTGTCTACAGATACACCACAGGATCGTCTGCCCTTGTTTCAAAATCTACGCAAATCAGCAGTCCATTCAAGTCGGCTATAAGAGATATCTCACTGTCTATCTTCAGACAGGAAGCTCTGCTCTGGTGAACCCAATTTCCTCCCCTGTATAAATCTGAATGGCTGTTGTGGTCATTGATTGACACACCCCATGAAATATGACATTTTCTATTAAAGATTTTTTCCTTTCTTTAAAAAAGGAAGCTGAAATAAAAGACAAAAAATTCTGATTGAATACAGTCTGCTCCTGTGATTCCTTCTTGGAATTTAACAACCAAATCACATAATTATCAAACGTCTACACTCTAAATGATCAGCTACTATCTCACCATAGAGTATAAGTGTGTGAAACATCCTAGCTACTTGTAGGCAAAATATAGATATAATACATCCTAGATACATGTACTTGTAGGGTAAATATAGATAAACTAGATACTGCTCATGTGATACATCCTAAATATTGTATTATTTAGCTACATCCTAAATACTTGTAGGCTAAATATAGATACAACACATCCTAGATATTTGTCGGCTAAATATAGATACAATACACCCTAGATACTTGTAGGCTAAATATAGATACAATACATCCTAGATACTTGTAGGCTAAATATTGATACAATACAACCTAGATACTTGTAGGCGAAATATAGATATAATATATCCTAGATACTTGTAGGCTAAATATAGATATACTACATCCTAAATACTTGTAGGCTAAATATAGATACAATACATCCTAGATACTTGTAGGCTTAATGTAGATATACTACATCCAAGCTACTTGTAGGCTAAATATAGATATACTAAAACCTAGATACTTGTGGGCTAAATATAGATACAACGCATCCTAAATACTTGTAGGCTAAATATAGATATACTAAAACCTAGATACTTGTAGTCTGACTATAGATACAATACACCCTAGATACTTGTAGGCTTAATGTAGATATACTACGTCCTAGATACTTGTAGGCTTAATGTAGATATACTACATTCTAGATACTTGTAGGCTTAATGTAGATATACTACATCCAAGCTACTTGTAGGCTAAATATAGATATACTACAACCTAGATACTTGTAGTCTGACTATAGATACAATACATCCTAGATACTTGTAGGCTTAATATAGATATACTACATCCTAGATACTTGTAGGCTAAATATAGATATACTACAACCTAGATACTTGTAGGCTAAACATAGATACAACACATCCTAAATACTTGTAGGCTAAATATAGATACAATACATCCTAGATACTTGTAGGCTAAATATAGATATACTACAACCTAGATACTTGTAGTCTGAATATAGATACAATACATCCTAGATACTTGTAGGCTAAATATAAATATACTACATCCTAGATACTTGTAGGCTAAACATAGATAAACTAGACAATGTAAATGTGATACATCCTAGATACAGTATCATTTAGATACATCCTAAATACTTGTAGGCTAAATATAGATACATCCTAGATACTGTATACAAGGTTTTACAACCTAGATACTGTATATAGGGTAATACATCCTAGATAATGTATACAGGGTTATACAACCTAGATAATGTATACAGGGTTATACAATCTATATACTGTATATAGGGTAATACAACCTAGATACTGTATATAGGGTTATACATCATAGATACTGCATACAGGGTTATTCAACCTAGATACTATATACAGGGTTTTACATCCTAGATACTGCATACAGGGTTATACAACCTAGATAATGTATACAAGGTAATACAACCTAGATACTCTATATAGGGTAAAACAACCTAGATACTGTATACAGGGTAATACAACCTAGATACTGTATACAGGGTAATACAACCTAGATACTGTATACAGGGTTATACAACCTAGATACTGTATACAGGGTTATACAACCTAGATACTGTATACAGGGTTATACAACCTAGATACTGTATACAGGGTTATACAACCTAGATACTGTATACAGGGTTATACAACCTAGATACTGTATACAGGGTTATACAACCTAGATACTGTATACAGGGTTATACAACCTAGATACTGTATACAGGGTTATACAACCTAGATACTGTATACAGGGTTATACAACCTAGATACTGTATACAGGGTTATACAACCTAGATACTGTATACAGGGTTATACAACCTAGATACTGTATACAGGGTTATACAACCTAGATACTGTATACAGGGTTATACAACCTAGATACTGTATACAGGGTTATACAACCTAGATACTGTATACAGGGTTATACAACCTAGATACTGTATACAGGGTTATACAACCTAGATACTGCATACAGGGTTATACAACCTAGATACTGTATACAGGGTAATACAACCTAGATACTGTATACAGGGTAATACAACCTAGATACTGTATACAGGGTAATACAACCTAGATACTGTATACAGGGTAATACAACCTAGATACTGTATACAGGGTCATACAACCTAGATACTCTATACAGGGTAATACATCCTAGGTTCTTGAACCAACTTTTATACAGTCAATTAACACAGGTAAATGATAACTTTGATTTATAAAGTAAACAAGAACAGGTTTATATAGTTAGCAGATAATAATATAGTTGGAACAGTGTTTAATACAGTTATATCACAATAGTCCCTATGTTTGTTTAGTATGAATAGTTAATGTACATTTTTCATTGCTCTCTTGTAATTTAACAGGCAAATAATTTGGACTAAATAAATATCTATATTTTCCAGGTGCCGTTTTGACTACATGGATATTTACGCCCAGGTGACAAGCCCCACGCAGAGTCTACTGGACACGCCCCTTCTTGGCCGTTTCTGTGATAACAGCCTCTCTCACCTCCCTAAGCTTGTAATCTCTACCAGCAACATCCTAGTCCTCGACTTCTACTCTGATGACAAGACTACTGACGCTGGCTTCAATGGATCCTTCACGTTCATTGATGCATGTAAGAGGATTCAGAGCTCTGATAACTAACTTTTTAATATTCACTATACAAAAACGTTAATAATTAAAAGTATTTGGCTTATTTATAAATATCCAAGTCACCTACCATTAATTGATTTATTTGTAAGTGAAAAGATGAAAATCTTCTTGTGTTGAAGGTCAGGTCAGAAAACATAAGTTAGCTAGCTTGATCAATGTGAAAATAACAGAGAAAAATCCCTTAGAGGAAGTGAAAAACCTTCTCTGTGTGTAGCTGGGACATGCTAGATGACCCCTTGACTGATAGTCTATTCTTTATGAGGATGACTTAGCTTTATGCCTTCTTGCCTTCTTATGCTTGCAGGTATCCTTAAAAACAAATGTCAACGTTTCCTACCCACACCATATTAAAATCACTAGCTTGCAGCTGACCTCTTCACCTTCATTGTTTCTTGTTCAATATGTTTA